TGGGGTCTGGGCCCGGGCCACCTGCTCACCGCCCAGGACTTCCGGTCCATCCACTCCAGGACCTTCCCGGGCAGGCATCTGGGGACAGGGACGCAGGGTCGCTGCGGGAAGGACAGAATTTGGTCCCGGGGGCATCTTACCGCCATGGGCCGTGGGCAGGACCTGCGGGGATTGGAGGGGAGACGGCTGGCCGTGCCTCGGGGCAGCATCTAACAGAGCAGGTGTGCTGAGGGCGGCAGCAGGGCGGGCAGGGCGCACCTCCGTGCCGTGCACGGTGCCGGGTGGCTGCTCGGGGGGCCAGCTCCACTGTGTGCGGGGACGTGGCGGGCGGAGAGAGAAGTACAGACGCCTCGGCTCCCAAACCCGCCACGGGCCGGGAAACAGCCCCTGCCGCAGACTGGGCTTCGTCCTCCTCCCCGAGGGCTGCCCTGGGGTGCGTAGGGGGCAGACGGGACTTGGCAGAGCTGTATAAGCACCACGTGGTGCTTTGGGGAAACCCCAGGACAGTAGAGAAAAACCGCCCTCAAACCTCAAACCGAGAGGGGCCGCGAGACCAGAGAATGATGCGGACGCGTCCCGTGTCGCATGGGATGAGGTTACTCGCAGTTACTTCCCAGCGCACCTGCCCCGGGGGCTCAGGGACTCCTTCCACGGGAGCTTCTTACCACTGTGTTTCCCCGAAAATAAGACCTACCCATAAAATGAGCCCCAGCAGGATTTCTAAGCATTTGCGCAATAGAAGCCCTGCCCTGAAAATAAGCCCTAGTGATGGGCGTGGCTGCGCAGTGCATCTGCACAACCCGTGCGTGTCGTCTCGGAGTGGTAAAGACGAGCAGCCCTTCTCATCTGCCCCGTGAGAGCTCTATTGCTGGACATGAGAGATCGGGGCCAGTGGTTCTAAAGGAAATAGAGTCGCAAGAAATTCATGATGGAATTCAGGGTTTGGAGAGTTATGATGATGTTCCAGAAGAAGATGATTTAACTATATTTGAATAAATGTAGATGATTGTACTATACTTAAAAACAATAACACATCCCCTGAAAATAAGCCCTAGGGTGTCTTCTTGAGGAAAAATAAATATAAGACCCTGTCTTATTTTCAGGGAAACACGGTAGTAGAGTCCACATCCGCCACCCTGTGGTGTGGCTTTAAATCTCTCCCCGTGAGTTGTGTGAAGTTCTTATACCTGTCTTGCAGGTGCAGGGCCATCGTCACAGCTGTCACCACCCCCACCCCCGTATGTCAGTGATGTTATAATTCCCCACTGGGCGAGATTCCAGTATCACAGTTAGTGAACGGCCGCTACAGGACACCAAAGCTGTCACCAGGTAGACAGACAAGGCAGGTGCCAAGATAACCACTGGTCCCAGCAAAAGAGCCCAGTAGTTTTTTGGGTGTCTTGGCACTTTCTGCCCTGAAATGGTAGCTCAAACTAGCCTCACTAGTCAGAGCCTTGTGGCTGTCCCACTATATGTGTGCTTTATATGAACATTGCATGTACATATTATGTATTTATAGGAACTACACACATGTACACCATTACTTGCACCTTTCTACACTTCTGAGCCATCCTCTAGGCTCATTGTCCTTCTGCCTGAAAAATACCCTTAGTATTTATTTAGGGTGGGTCTCCAGGTGATGGATTTTTTTCATTTTCTCTAAATATGTGTTGATTTCACTTTTATTTTAGACAGATTTCGTTTTTCCCTGAATAAATAATTTCAGGGTGTCCATCAATTCTTTTCACTCCATTGCTTTCCAGCTCCCATCATTTCGATGAGAAGTCAGCTGTAAGTCTTACCAGTGCCCGATAAAAGCTTTATGCCCTTTTTAAAATCCCCAGTTGTTTAAAAATCTTTATCTTTGGCTTTGGCTTTTAGCAGTATTACTATGATGGGACTGGCTATGGTTTTCCTTGATTTATCACGGTAGGGTTTACAGTGCTTCTTGAATCTGTGGTTTAATATCCTTTATTGGTTTTGGAAATTGTTCAGTCATTGTCTCTTCAAATGTTGCTTCTGCCGTTTCTTTCTCGTTGGCCCTTTGGGACGTATGATAGGCATGTTAAAGTCGCATGTGTTTTTGTGCACTGTCCTGTATTGCTCGGGTGTGGATGTTTTCTTTTAAAGTAACTTCCAATTAATTAATTCTCTCTTTAGCTGCATTTAATCTACTGTGAAACTCATGTAAGTTCTCAATTTCAGCTTTTTAAAATAAAGTTTTCCCATTCTATTTTTAAAAATGATTTCTAGTTCTGTGACAAACTCTTCTGTCTTCACTTTTTAATTCCCTGAACATGTTAAGCTAAGGTGGTTTCGATTTTTAAATCTGCATCTGATGACTCCATTATCGGAATCTCCTCTGGGTCTGTTTAGTGTCTGCTGTTTTCGGTCAGATTTTGTCTTCTTGCGTGCTTCATTAAATGCCACACGTTGCGTGTGAAAAATTGTAGAAATAATTTGAGGCCAGGTGTGGTGTTATCTGTCTCCGTGGAGGGTTCGTCTCTGTTCCTGGGGAGTGAGGGGGGACAGTGATCGTGTCAGATCCCTGAACCCACATCTCCTTCGTTAGAGCTGAGCTTCTGCAAGGCTGTTTCCTTCCAGATCACCCTCACCGCCAGGGCGCTGGCCTTCCAGGTTTAACCCAAAGACTGTGGGGCTTACCACAGCTCCTCCTCTTTGGCAAACCCTGAGCTCAGTTTTTTATTTCTGTTCCTGTAAGTCCGTCGAAAGTTCTGTGCGGCTCTTCAGCCTGTGCACGGGCAGTTTGGAATCTGCAAATGCCTTGGAGAACAGGCAGCCCCAGGTGCTGGGTGTCCTCACTACCAGTCCCACAAATCCTTGCCCCTTGCTGGGTCTCTGGTGCCTTTAAACAGATGTTATTCATCTATATTTTGTCCAGTTTTTCTGGTTTTCCTTGGGAGGAAGATTAGTTTAAAACAACGTAGTCCACCATTTGCTAAAAACAGAACTTTCTGGATTTCTTTTAAATAACCAGGTACATCCAGGGAAATTCTGTTGATAATTAAATTCATTAACATTTGGGTTTACACACAACTCTTTGGGAATATATCCATTCGTGAAGTAAGGTCTAGTTGGCGATGTTTTTTATTAGGGCTTTTAAAAAACACGAGTTCCCAGTTTTCCCCTAGAAGACACTTAATAAAGACATGTTGAACAAGGGAACAGGTTTCTTGGTGGATGATCCCTGGGTGCATCTTCTTGGTCTGATGACAGCCAGTTTTCTGCAAAGCCCAACAAACAAATGAGCCCCGGAGCTGCACACACTCCCTGCCCGGTGCTCCTGACCGCCTCTGGTCTACCTGTGTGCTTGTCTTACAAACGTAAACTTGACCACGTCTCTGCCCCCATGAAAACAGGCTTCCCCGTAACCCTAGAATGAAGTTGGAACACTCAGCCCGTCTCCCCCCACCTCCTCCCCCTCCCATTGTGGCTCGGCCCTGAGCGCCCTGACCTGCCCCAGGGCCTTTGCACCTCCGCCCCAGGCCTCCTCCTCCCGCCCACTCCCTTCATCTCTTGGGGGTCTTTCTGCTCCTGCAGTCCCCTTCTCCACCATCCCACCTGTCTGTGTGCATGTGCACATGTGTGTGCGTCCTTTTTCCCTGCAAGGCGCTTCTCAGGACGCCCTTCCTGCTGTCTGGTGGCCCTCGCTGGCGCGCAGGGGCGGGGCCGGTCTGCCCGCCTGCCCTCACCTCTGCGTCCGGGCACAGAGTCAGCGCGGCTCAGCCATGGCCACGGAGCACCTGTCCCCACACCGTGGGGTGATGCAGCCATGAAAGGGACGAACCTTGAACCCGCTGGGCTGGCACGGACAGCCCAGGGCGCAGGCTCCGTCCTTGGCGTGTCCGGAACCGGCAAGTGCATGGAGACAGGGAGCGGTCGGTGGCTGCCGGTGGCCGTGGGAGGTGGGGGTGACCGTTAATGGGGGCGGGCTTCTTTCTGGAGAGATGGAAATGTTCTGGAATGCGGTTCCAGTGATAACTGCACAACTTTGCAACTCTGCTAAAAACCGCCGGACTGAACACGTTAGAAGGGCAGACTTCATGGCGTCTGTGAGTTACGCCTCAGTCAGAAGTGTGTATTTGTGGAGTGAGGAGCGGGCGGGAGGGGCTGGGCCTGGCGGCGTCACCTCCTGTGGCGGGGACAGCCTGGTCCCGGCCGCACGCCCCTCCAGAGACGAGCATGTGGGCTGCGCCCCCCACGCAGGCGCCGCCCCTCTGCGCGCTCGCTCTCCTTCCCACGCCGTGAGGCACCTCTGCTCTGAGAATTCTTTACTCGGCAGCAGCCGAAAGCTGAAGGAACTCCTGGCGACACGTGCCAAGAGCCACCTGCTTCCTGCCCAGGTGGGCGCCAGGGCGGGGTCTTCCCTGCAGGGCTGCGGCGGGAGGGGGGAGGGGCAGGGCCTTCAGCCCACCTGCTCTGGGTACCCGGGGCCCTCACAGACCCTCCCCCTGAGACGGAGGCCGTCTGCGGGCACTGCGCACAGACACTCACAGTGACATCTGAGTGCCAGGATGCGGGCACAGCACATAGACACAGTGACATCTGAGTGCCAGGATGCGGGCACAGCACAAGGGACAACCGTCCCCATGGTGACTGTCACCTCCCAGAGGAAACAGGCAGGAAACACACACACCTGTTCACATGCAAGTGGGTGAGGCTGGAAAGGGGGAGCACTCGAGGCCCCATGACTCAGTCCAGGGGTCTGGGACATAGTGCTGGGGCTGAGCGGGAGTCGGCCAGGCGGGAAAGTTTGCAGAATGTTCCGGAAGTGTAACAACCGTGCAAGGTCCCAGGGCTGGTGAGGCAAGGGCCCCTCACCTCCTGCACTCAGGGAGGGCACCCTCGGGGCTCCCTGGGGCCCCCCAAAGCAGCAGCGACCCGTGGGCCAGGGGAGGGTCCCTTTGCGTGAGGGGGCGGCACCTGCCCAGGTGTGCGCATGGCGGCAGTTCCCGTCTGAGCCGCTGTCTCCGTTCCAGGCACCTACGTGATGACGGTCACCGCCAACGACGCTGACGACAGCACCACGGCCAACGGGATGGTGCGGTACCGCATCGTGACCCAGACGCCCCAGAGCCCGTCCCAGAACATGTTCACCATCAACAGCGAGACTGGCGACATCGTCACGGTGGCGGCTGGCCTGGACCGGGAGGTGAGGCGGGGCGGGCTGCGCAGGGCCGGATCTCTGTCCCCACGATGCGGGTGGGGACGGGATCAGGAGCCGCCCCAGGTGGGTCCCCTGCGCGGGCTGGAGAGACCAGGACTCGGCGCGGCCGGTTCCCAGGTGCTCGCCGCGGCTGCTCTGCGAGATCGCTGGGCTGGCAGCGCACGCGGCCTCCAGACGGGCCTGCTGGCGTGTGCCCCAGGGCGGGGCGCCCAGAAAAGCAGGGACGGCCTCGAGGTTCTGGGGTCCCACCACAGCAGAGCTCCAGGCCCCGGGTGGTCTGACGGGCCCCTGGGACCCGAGCGCTCAGAGCTGCCTGGAAGCCGCTGCCTCTGAGCCTGGCGTCTTCACGGCCGACCATCATCCAGGCTGCTGCCACCCTTCCGTGACGGCCTGGGTGCCGAGGGAGCCCACGGCCCTGGCCACTCAGAGACCTCCACCTCCTGGCCAGGCCCCGGGGAGGCCAGCTGGCTGCCGGACCACCTGCAGAATGTCCCACGCAAAAATGCTTGTTTCCAAGCTCATGGATTGGAGGAATTGACATTGTTAAAATGTCCATACTGCCCAATGGATTTACAGAGTCCGTGCAATTCCCATCCAGATCCCAACATCATTCTTCATGGGTCTAGAAGAAATAACCCTGAACTTCATATGGGACCAGAAAAGACCCTGAGTAGCCAAAGAAACCCTAAGCAAAAACAACAAATCTGGAGGCGTCCCATTACCTGGCTTCAGATCACACTACCAGGCCACCGTAACCCAAACAGCACGGCGCTGGTGGACAGGTGCACACGTGGGCCGACGCAGCACAATAGAGAACCCGGAAATGAAACCACAGAGCTATGACCGACTGGATTTTGACAAAACGGACAAAATGGTACGCTGGGGAAGGGCCCCCCTGTTCAGTAAATGCTGGGAAAACTGGACAGCCACAGGCAGAATAATGAAAGTGGAGCCTTCCCTCTTGCCATATACAAAAATTAACTCAAGATGGATTACAGACTTAATTATAAGGCATGAAACTATGAAACTCCAGAAGAAAAATGTAGGAGAAACTCTTCTAGACATTGCCCTAGGCAAAGGATTTAGGACTAAGATCCCAAAAGCAAATATAGCAACAACAAAAATAAGTAAATGGGACTTAATTAAACTAAAAAGTGTCTGTACAGCAAAGGAAATAATCAACAGAGTGAATAGACAACCTACAGGACGGGAGGAAACATTCACAAACCATACTTCCGACAAAGGACTGATGTCCAGAACCAACAAAGAACTCAAACAGGTAGATCAGTAAGAAAAAAACAAACAACGCCATCAAAAAGTGGGCAAAAGATATGAACAGACTCTTCCCAAAAGAAGGCGGACTAATGGCCAACAAACTTGAACAAGTGCTCGACATCCCTAATCATCCGGGAAATGCAGATCAAACCTCAATGAGATGCCACCTGACTCCTCTCAGAGCCGCCAGCATTAAAAAGTGAAAAGAACAGTAGACGTTGGTGAGGTTGTGCTGAACAGGGAATGTCTATCCACTGTTGGCGAGAATGCAAGTCGGCACAACCCCCAGGAAAGCAGCACGGAGATTCCGCAAAGAGCTAAAAGTAGCCCTGCCAGTCGATCCGGCAATCCCACTGCTGGGCATCGGCCCAAAGGAACAGTCATCTTGTAAGGATGGCTCCTGCGCTGAACGCCCGCACAGTTCACAATTGCGAAGACGCGGGATCCACCCAAGCGCCCGTCAGCTGATGAGCGGATAACGAAGATGCGGGGTGTGTGTGTGTGTGTGTGTGTGTGTACACGCCACACCATGGAGTACACTCAGCCATAAAAAGGAATGAAATAGTGTCTTTTGCAGCAAACTGGAACTAGAGACCTTCATCCTGGGTGGAGTGTCTCAGGACCGGAGGAACAAACACCGCGTGTGCTCACTGACACGTGGGAGTAAACGGGGCACACGTATGGTCCAAAGAGCAGCAGTGGACACTGGACACCAGGAAGGGGGCGGCGGGGGTGAGGGAGAAAACCTGCCCGTCGATAACGACGTTCACTGTTCCAGTGACAGGTACAGTGAACACCCCGACTTTATCCACGTCACAAAAAACATTGCACCCCTTAAATTTTTAAAAATACAATAAATAACATAAAATAAGTAAAAGCCATTAAAGGTTGGTTCTGGTGGAAGGAATGGAAGTTGCCAAGAGACGCAGGGGCTCGGGGTTCCCGAGACGCGGTTTTCCGGGAGGGGTGGCGCTCTGGGCTCCGAGCTGCCCGCGCGCCCCTCGCCAGCCTCCCAATGGACAATGGGAGCAGAGGCTCGAGGCGACCACTCTTGGAGCAGAAGCAGCGTGGCCCGCCCACGGACGCCCTGGCTGGGAACGTTCGGTGACTGACACTCAAACAGCGCCGGGTTTTAAGACCATGGCTCCGGGGCCTCCCTGTCCAGGCATCAGCGAACCAGCCGGGCGACCCCAGGTGACCCGCCGCCCCTGCCCGGCTGGGGCCCGACGGACCTTCGCTGGCCCGAGTCACTGCCCCGGAGCCCCGGCCTGGCCCCTCCCCACCGGCCCGGCCCGCCTTGCCCTGCCGGGTGTCCGCGCAGCCGGGCTGGAGGAGGGCGCATCAGCAGGGCGGCCCCTTTTTCTGTCTTCCCCTTTAAGCTGGTCTCTCCCCTGCCCTTGTGCAACAAGCCGCCTTCGGGGAGAGAAGTGCTCGGCGCCTCCTGTCAGCACCAGCCCCCCGGGTGGCGGGGAGAGGTGTCTCTAGGAGGGAAAATCCACAAACATAATTGGCACGGTGTCTAATTAGGCAGAGCTATGTAAATTGAGCGTTTCTACATGATTAAAATGTCAGGAGAGACTTCGATAAGACACGAGCCGTTCGAGAGTCTCTCGTGTGCCTCCTCGAAGAGGCTCCTCGCGCTGGTCCTGGTCATCACGCGTCCTCTGCTAATTAGAATATTTATGTCCTAATAAGAAGGTGCACACGGCGCCCGAGCTCCTTTCTGGAGGCGCCGGCGGCGTCCTCCCGCCCGCCCTGTCCTGACTGCTGTGCGGGTGATTAGCGCGAGCCTCGTGGCTCCCCCACCCGCGTCCCGCCGCTCCTCGGTGAAGATGACGTCGTTATTGGAAACTCGGGCCACGGTGACAGTCACCTGGTCACCTTCACCAACTTGAAACTTCCTCCCAAGCAAGGGCGGGCGGATTGACTCCCTGGACCTGGAAAGGTCTCCTGGAGCCCCGCGGCTGCCGAAGTCCCCATCACTGTCACCAGCCCTAAGTGACACAGTCACATTGTTCAAGTTCAGGCAGAGCAGGCTCTTTGCTGACAACAAGACCGGTCACCTGCCCTTGGCCTCAGGAAGCTCCCAGCGTTCTGCAAGCGTGGATCTGCGAGGAGGCGAGGCTGGGTGGCTGGACCACGTTTAGTTTCGACCTCAGGCTGCCGTGAACGTGGGCGGACGCGCTCTGTGGACATTTGGGCAGGAGGGAGCTGCCTGGCCACGCAGTAACTGCCTCGCCTGCGAGGACCCACCGGCGCGTCCTCCACGGCGCCTGCACTCCCCGGCCCCAGCACCTGAGGGTCCGAGGCCCCGATCAGGCTCCCACGTGCTGAGAACCCCGGCGCTGCGTGACCTAGGGAGGGGGCGACCTGTCTGCTCCTCCCAGCGCCCAAGGGGACGGAGGTTCCAGCAGTGACAGCCCGGAAAGCCCCTCGGGGCAGGGTGGCAGGCAGGGAGGGGCGTGGGAACAGCGCTGGCCAAACCGGGGCTGCAGAACCTCCCAGAGCAGTGGCAGGGCCTGCACTGGCCCCCGCGTCATTGGAGGAGGAAGGGACCCCGCGGGGTCTGTGAGTCTGGGGGGGGGGGTCCCAGCCTTAACTGACACCCACACTGGACCCAGCTCAGCACGAGAGCCCGGCCGGCAGGACAGGCCAGTCGCCCTGGGGTGGGAGGCAGAACTCCAGTGTCTGTCCGTGCGGCACCGCCGGGCAGCCTGGCAGCACGGGCGGGCGCGCTCTGCTCGGGAAGCTTTGATGCCTTTCTAGGGCCGGCCAGCGACTGCATTATTGATGATGCTCAGCAAACCCACACGCCGAGTCACGGGGAGGTGGGTGAAAGCCCCAGGGACGGCTCGCTGCGGTTTCTTCCCTCCTCTCCAACTCGGAGACGGCCACATCGCTTTTTAATGAATTCCTTGCGGCTCCAGGGCTGAGGGTGTGGCCGGCGCCAGGGACATCTGCCCTGTGCCCCGCCCCAGCGGGAGCAGGGAGGGCCCGGCGGGGGCCTGCTCAGGACATTGACGGGTCCAGTGGAGCCCACACGTGCAGGACTGCCCGATGCCCGCCAGCTACCTTCGGGGAGGGTGACACGGAGCATGGAGGTCGCATGGTTCAGAGCTGAGCCTGGGGTCGTCTCTCTGTCCCCCGGGGCCCAGGAGGCTGCTGGATTCTGGAGCACGGCACTCACCTGCCCCAGCCTCGGGGCAGTCCTGCGCCTTCCTAGGACTCGGTTTACCATCTGCCAAGTGGGGAGGGCACCACGCCCCGGGGTCCACAGGGCCGGGCAGAGGTTGCATTCGGTACACGAACAGCAGGCATGGCCCATAGGCCGTCAGGAGGCCCAGGCACCCTGGACGCAGGCCCTGCCCAGCTGCTGACTTGGGTCCTGTCACCTGCCTGGAGCAAAGGATGAAACGGGCTTCAGGCAGGAAGCAAAGGGCCCGTGAGCCGTTTAAAATAACCACGTGGAATCCTCCGGCCCAGACCCACTGCGCACAGACCAGGCACATCTGCAAGGACGTCTGTCTGCAGGGACGCACAGTGGCCCTGACTGCATTCGGGAAGGGGCAGCGGCCACAGTGATGGGTCAGGGGCCTGCCTGTGTCCCCCGGCCTGGCCTGTTATCAGAGGCCCCGGGTCTTAGACCTGCGGACCTCTCCTCCTCCCTGCCGCATGGGCTTCCCGCCAGCCTGGCCAGGGAGGACCTGCCTGCCTCCCACATCCAAGCCTGGCCCGCCCTCTAGTGGCAGTACACTCGCTCATGCAAGCACACAGCACATTCATAAGGCATACAGACGTGTACACACATGCAAGTGTGTGTGCACATGCATGTGCTCACATGCACACATGTATGCACACCCTTGTACACATATGAACATACATACAAACATGCACATGAATGTGCATTCATGCAAGTGCATACACACATGTACATGTTCATGCATACATACACAGGCTTGCACACGTGTGTGCATGTATGCAAATGTGCATGTGTGTGCACATACATGCATGCTCTCGTGCACACATGTATGCACATCCTTGTACAGATGCACATGTGCACATGCACACAAACATGCACGTGAATGTGTGTGCATGCTAGTGCACATACACGTTTGTACATGTGCATACATCCATACACAGGTGTACACACGTGTATACATGCACAGGCGCACACACATGTGTCCCTGTGTTTCTAAAGTGGTTTGTTTCTTCTCAGTGTATTCTGAGCACAGCACCCTGCAGTGGCTTCGCGTACCGGCTGTGACTCCGTAACTGGAGAAACGAAGACTAGCAGAAGGGTGGCGTGCCGCAGTCAGGTGACAAGACCGTTTCCCCAGCGGTTGGCGTCCCCTCCTCTCGCTCTGGGTAGACCCGGCCCTGTGGCCTGTGCCGTCCTCTCCTTTTCCAGTCGCCCTTCAGCTGGCCACGCCGCTGCGGCCCCACGACAACATGGACACGTCCGTGCAGCTCGGCCTGCGGTGCATGCTGCCAAGCAGGGCGGCGGGGCATCCTCTGCAGGCCGCGGGGGCAGCCCCTCCGAGGAGGAAGGGCCCACTCGCTTCCCGGCCCGGCTTTGGAAAGATGCGAAGATGCCCCTGCAGCTTCGATTTCCAGATCTGTCCTGGGAGGGAGAAGAGAATCCGATTTGTAAAGGACAAGAGAAACTCGGGTGAGAAACCGAGAAGCTCCCAACGTGAGGCCGCCCGCGCCTCTCAGGAAATCTGACTCCGTGTCCTGGGGGAGGGTGGGACTGAAGGACGCCACATCCACGGAGTGGCCGGCAGCCCACGGTGCAGCCCGTGCAGGCGGGCAGGGCACACATGACACGAGGCTCCCAGCGCCCCTTGCACGGCGACCTGGACAGCTGGCGTTGGGATTCGAGTCCGCAGCCTGTCTCTGCAGCGTCCTGGCCGGGGGCCGACTGGATTCAGACACCCACGGCCCCGCCCCTGCTGGGCCCAAGAGCGAGGCCAGCCCAGGGGTGCGGGAGAGCAGCGTGGAGGGAAGACCGCGGGGAGGGGCTGGCTGCTCTCTGCTCTGGGGGCCAGGCAGGGACGTCTTCTTGCTGTTGGGACCCTGGGGCCCAGGAACCTCAGGGACGGGACCTCTGCGAGGAGCAGTGCCCTGACACACAAGGACGCATCTGAACATGCCCTGGTCTGCACCTGGAAGGCCGACCCCAACCATGCCGCCGCCAAGGCCGCCAGTCAAGGGCGGCATTATCCAAGGTCTTTGTGTGATGTCACCCTGCGTTCAGAACGGGACCCGTGGGGCATCCTGGTTAATGTCACCGTGGACGCCGCCGGTGCCATCTGCATTCGTCTGTGGCAAAGGCCTGAGCAGAGGCCGGCATCAGGGGCCCCAGCTGCCACCTCCCCCTGCCCCGGCCGACTGTGTGGCCCTGGAGCGGCGGTGTCACTGCCTGTCTCTCACTGGGCTCAGTGTCCCCGTCTGCAAAGGGGGGCAGGACCACGTGCTCCCCTGACCACGCGGCAATCATGCTCGTCACCGAGACAGCGAGCAGGGACGCGTGGCTCACGTGGCTCGGTGGGGATTTCGTCGTTTCTCTCCTGTCGTTTGCTTTCTCCACTCCCTCGCCCGCCCACTGTCAGCCCGAACTGCACCCTGCCCAGCCCCGTGCGCCTCTTGCCCCGTGCTGCACTCTGCCCGCGCAGGTGCTGGGAAACTCCCCCAGCCTTGGCTGGGCTCAGTCATTCCTCTCACCAGCTGGCAGGCTGGCCTGGGGCTGGTCTGGGGGGGAGGAAGGACGGACAGATGGATGGATGATGGATGGGTGGGTGGATGGATGATGGGTGGGTGGATGGATGGATGGATGGATGGATGGATGGAGGGATGGATGATGGATGGATGGATGGATAGATGGATGATGGGTGGGTAGAAGGAGGGATGGATGATGGGTGGGTGGGTTGATGGATGGATAGATGGATGGATGGATGGATGGATGGAGGGATGGATGATGGATGGATGGACGGATGGATGGATGATGGATGGATGATAGGTGGATGGATGGAGGGATGGATGATGATGGATGGATGGATGGATGGATGGATGGATGGATAGATGGATGGATGGATGATGGGTGGGTGGAGGGAGGGAGGGATGGATGGATGATGAGTGGAGGGATGGATGATGGATGGGTGGAGGGATGGATGATGGATGGATGGATGGACAGATGTATAGATGGATGGATGGATGGATGGATGGATGATGGGTGGGTGGAGGGAGGGAGGGAGGGATGATGGATGGGTGGATGGACAGATGGATGATGGATGGGTGGAGGGAGGGAGGGAGGGATGATGGATGGGTGGATGGACAGATGGATGATGGATGAGTGGGTGGAGAGAGGGATGGATGATGGATGGATGGAAAGAGAACATGCTGGTGACCCATCTGCTGTTTACGATCCCTTACGGAGCCAATTTGTGGAACCTGGGCATGTGTCACGGAACCACATGTCTGGAAACTGGCCCTTAACCTCTTATAGGAGCAAGACTCAGGAGCGTCAGTCACTTGGAGAACATCTCAGAAGGGCCCTTGTCACGTTGGTCCCCAGAGTCCTTGCTCCCCCAAGGGTGCCAGTGAGAGGCAGGCTGTGGTCGCAGCAGCTCTCTGGGACCGGAGCGTGTGTCACCTGGGTCAGAAAGGGGTGTGAAAAGCCACTCTGCGGACTCAGGGACCTCAGCACGACGGAGGCCTGGAAGGGCCGGCTGGGGCAGGGACTCCCTCGATGCATAAGGAAGCGCAGTCCCCCATGGAGCTGCGTCTGCCTGGCGGCCCTCGCCCGGCGCCTCACGCTGACGCCCCTTCAGGCCGGCCCTCGCACCTCCCGCCCGCAAAGAGAGGGGAGAGGGGTCCTCTTTTCTTCCCGTCTGAATTTCTGACCCGCACTTCTGAGGGGCAAAGTAAACACGCAGGAAACCGAGTCCCTCGGATTGCCTCTCTCTCTGCACACTCTCCCTCCCTGGTCTCCCGGGCGCTCCCTGGGCCCCGTTCTCCTTTCTGTCCCAGCATCTCTCGTGGTCTGTGCCTGTCAAAGGCAGGGCTGCCGAGACGAACGCGGGGTCGGACCCTCCTCGCTGCACACGGCGCGGGGCCAGGGCGGCAGAAGTTCTTCCGAGAGGCTCGGGGCCTGCGCCGCGCGGCCCCAGCACGAGGGGGACAGCGTCCCTGCCTTCTGGGGACTGGCGTCTGCTCGTGACTGCCCCGGCGGTTAAGATCGGACCTACTCACGGCCCCTCCCAACTGTGTCCCCTCCAGAAAGTGCAGCAGTACACCGTCATCGTCCAGGCCACGGACATGGAGGGGAACCTGAACTACGGCCTCTCCAACACCGCCACGGCCATCATCTCCGTGACGGACGTGAACGACAACCCGCCGGAGTTCACCGCGAGCACGGTGAGTGGCTCGCGCCCGCCGGGGACACTGGCCCTCGCCGGCCTCCGCAGCTGCAGGTGGGAGCCTGGCAGATCTGTGGCACCAAAGGCCTGGGCAGCGGGGGCTGGGGTGCGGCCGGCTCTGCTCCTGGCGTCTGCGGCAGGAGGGGCCTCGGCCCGGGGTCACCTGCTGTGGGGGAGGGGCGCTCCACGTCAGCCCAGCGCCGACTGACAATGGGGGGCGCCTTCGTGAGGCCTGGAGGGGCCGGTAGTGTTTGGCCGAGGTCACAGCCCCTTCCGGAGGCGTGTGTGTGGCTGCGTGTGCCGGGCCCCGCTTGGGGGACACCCCGTGGCCTTGGCCAGGGCAGGCCGTCCTGCAGGAGAAGTGTGTCTGGACCCCAGTGGCTCTGCAGCAGAGAGGGTCCTCTCGGCAGGTCTCCCTGCAAGTACGAGGGGCCCACAATGCACAGGGGCCAAACTCTGCACCCCGAGTTCCCGCTGCCTCTGGAGCCCAACGGAGCAGCTGTGCTGCCAGGAGGGCCCCGTCCCCGAAACCTCGGGGTCCCTCGGGGCCAGAAGACATTCGATGACCCACTCCTGCTCCCCAGCTGACACCTCCAGACTGTCCCGTGCTTGGGGAGTGGCGCTGTGTCTCCACCCTGGCTCCCAGGCTGCATGTGGTTCTGACACCCTGGGTGTAGGGCCCAGCCCGGGCCATCCAGACCGCTGCGGGTGCTGGGCTGGGACATGGGGTCAGCGAGGGCTCCCGGGCTGCATGGCAGTTCTGACACCCTGGGTGCAGGGCCCAGCCCGGGCCGTCCAGACCGCTGCGGGTGCTGGGCTGGGACGTGGGGTCAGCGAGGGCTCCCGGGGTGCTAGGTCTCGGGGTCTGCCCCGCTCCCACAGCCCTGCCCCCGCCTTCTCCCCCCTGGTGGGTGGAGTGAATGGGGCCCTGTCGGTGGCGGTCACAGTCAGGACGGTGGCAGCCCCATCAGGCACGGCGGGGGCTCCGGGCCAGCCCCTCAGGGCCGGGACCCAGCGCCACGCAGCCCGTGGGGTCCCTAGGATTGGACCCCAGAAGCTCTGCCACCCACAGGGGGAGGAGCCCTCCCTGAGCAGCGCAGTGCTCCCTCCCGGTGGGGGGGTCGGTTTGCTGAAGGCATCGCCTGGCCAGGGCCCCTGGCACGCACGGGCAGCCCCTCCAAGCCTGGCCACCCAGCCCCTGCCCCAGGCCCTGGACCCGCTGGACCTGGCAGGCCGTGGGTGCATAGCGCCATCTCGTGGGCGCAAGGCAGATCTCGCAGAGGGAGCCGGCTCAGGCCCCTGCGGGCCCCGCTGGGACCCCTGGCGGTGAGCGGCCAGTGACAGCGGCCAGTGACAGCGCGCAGGCTGAGCCCAGGCAGCAGCCCTCTTGTGATTGCCTGAGAGGGGGCAGTCCGTGTCTCACTGGGCTTTGGTGTCTACTTTCTGTCCTCCAGCCAGGGACCGGGGGCAGGAGAGACCCACGGCCAGCACCCCAGAGAGCAGCGCCACCCCGGGACCTGGGAGGACGCCAGTGCCCAGGCCTAACCTCGGCTGGCCACAGGCCCGGCCGTCCTTCCTCCCCGCCCCCAAGAGGGGCCCCATAGGGTGTGCGGAGCAGAGCCCGGTCCTGCCACACCCTCTGTGACGACCACGGGGCCACGCGGCTGCCACCAAGGACGGCTCGTGCCAGGCCCACTGGTGCGTGACCTGGGCCGGCTCATCCCTCCTGCAGCGGCCCTGGGCGGCACCCTCCAGCCCCTACCCGTGCCGAGGAGCCAGGCTGGTCCCACACACAGGTGCAAACCAGCTCCTGAGCCAGGCCGGGGTGTCACCCGGGGTGGCCCCGCGGTGCTCAGAGCCACCAGCCAAGTCGGGGCCTCAGACGGCAGGGCCAGTGCTCGGGGACCAGGACGCACTCTTGTCCCGGTGCCAGCACCGGGTTCTGGCCACTGGGATGTGGCAGCAGCATCCACTCTCCTGACCTCAGGGACCCCCCAGCTCCTCCAGGAAGCAGCCTCAGGACCCTCTGGTTGCCATGGAAACCAGGGCAGAAGGGAGCCGGGTTGGGTCCCAGCAGAGGGTCTGTCCACAGCAGGAGGAAGGGATGTGTCAGGGATTCAGCCCAGCCCTCCTGAAGAACCACGCCCGCGGGTGCTCAGGAGGCATTTGGGGGGCCCAGAGCCCCAGCCTGCCCAAGCCTGGTCCACTCACCTGTCTGCCCACCTGGGCCGACCTGGAGGGCAGGCAGTCCCACAGAGCCCTACCCTCCTGCCGCCAAATGGGCAAATTCCACCTTTTGGGAGCAAAAGTGTCGGCTAAAGTCTAATTTACCAGGACCCAAAGTGGGCACCCCAAGGACTCCAGGTCCCCCGCTTTGGGTGAGATGGGGTGGCTCTCTGCAGAGGACGGCCCACAGGGGTCCCGAGCAAGATGCCCAGGAGCCTGTGTCTCCACTGGGGTGGGCACCACCACCAGCAGCCGCACGGAGACACGGTGCTCCCACCGCCCAAGTGGAGATGCAGTGCTCCCCCTGCCCACCTGGAGACCCAGTGCTCCTGCCACCTGCCTGGAGACCCAGTGCTCCCCCTGCCCACCTGGAGACCCAGTGCTCCTGCCCTGCCCACCTGGAGACCCAGTGCGCCTGCCACCTGCATGTAGACTTAGTGCTCCCCCTGCCCACCTGGAGACCCAGTGCTCCTGCCACCTGCCTGGAGACCCAGTGCTCCCCCTGCCCACCTGGAGACCCAGTGCTCCTGCCACCCGCCTGGAGACCCAGTGCTCCGCCTGCCCACCTGGAGACCCAGTGCTCCCACCACCTGCATGTAGACTCAGTGCTCCCACCGCCCACGTGGAGATGCAGTGCTCCCCCTGCCCACCTGGAGACCCAGTGCGCCTGCCACCTGCATGTAGACTTAGTGCTCCCACCGACCACCTGGAGACCCAGTGCTCCCACCGCCGCAGCACCCTCACCCCTCCATGCAGACGGCTGCTCCGGACCATCCTGTAAACAGGTCATGTGGACACGCAACTGGCCGTGTCTGACCGTCCCTGTAAAGCCACGGAGACTCGTCCCTGTCACTGTGCCAGGACAGGCGGGCCAGGGGCTCCCACACACCCTTTCCTGAACAGACTGTCCCTGCATCTCCTCTTCATCTAATCAGTTTCTCCTCTTTAAAGCTTCGTTTGAGCTTTATTTTTATTTTATTTTTTTTGAGACAGGGTCTCACTCTGTCAGCTGGGTAGAGTGCAGTGATGTCATTACAGCTCACTGCAGCCTCAAACTCCTAGGCTAAAGCGATCCTCCTGCCTCAGCCTCCCTAGTAGCTGGGACTACAGGCCTGTGCCAGGACACCCAGATAATTTTTATATTTTTAGTAGAGACAGGGTCTCACTCTTGCTCAGGCTGGTCTCGAACTCCTGAGCTCAATCGATCCTCCCACCTCAGCCTCCCAGAGTTCTGGGATTACAGGTGTTAGCCACCACACCTGGCTTCATTTGAGTGTTTGATTAGGAATTTTGTGCACATGGTGCAACCGTTTAAATGGGGTCCTCAAACTTTTTAAACAGGGGGCCAGTTCACTGTCCCTTGACCGTCGGAGGGCCGTTGGAGAGCGCGGTGCACATTCCACACACGCGCACTGTGGGCCTGGGACGAGTCGGCTGCTAAGCAGGACAGGCAGCGGCGGCAAAAACACCCGGTGGGCCGGATAAATGTCCTCGGCGGGCTGCATGTGGCCCGAGGGCCGTAGTTTTTGGACACCTGGTTTAAAAGGTAGAGACTTGCCTTGAGGAAGGAGCCTCCCTCTCACCCCCAGGCCCAGCTTCCTGGTCCTGATCTCTGAGACAAAATCCACCAGGAACGATTTTCATGAATTGCACAAAGACGCGTGGGTACGTGCTCCCGTGCCCCCTCAGGGTCGGGGACACCGTTCTCTACTTGCTGCTTCTACTTCATACCCTGGGATCTTTCCATGCCCATACATTCTGAACTGCTTCAGATTTTTTTAAAAGTTTACTTATAAATCACTGTAAAATTACAGAAAAGTCTCAAGAACAGGAATAGTGAAAAGCATGGTTGTGTCCGTTTACCCAGTGGGCTCCGTCGTCGGACCGCGGGCGCCGTCGCCATGGACACGCGCCGCTGTGCTCCAGACCGTTTGAGGGGGAGCACACACACCCCGCCCTTGCGTCGGAATGCTTCCAGGTGCATCTCCCGAGGAGCGGGGCTTCCTCTGATGTGACCCAGCGGCCCCAGGCGAGCCGCCGTTGCAGCCCTTTGGCTCCGCCAGAGGCAGGCGAGGCGTGGGGCCTCGTTCCCCGCCGGCCTGAGGATGCAGAGTGGGACAGACTCGAACCCAGACTGGGAACCTCTCAGTCTTCCTGGGGGCACGGGGGGGGGGGGGCGCGCAACCTGCTCCACCGGCCAGAAAGCCAGGAAAGAGGTCTCTGGTCACTGTTTTAGTTAAACGGCTGGTCCTGTCCCCCAAGCTGGTGGAACAGCGCTGCAGGCAGGAAGGGACTTGGCGGGCGGCCCAGTCCCCAAGGCTCCTGTTAAGGGAGGGGGAGGAGGAGGAGGAGGAGAGAGGAAGGGAACAGCCTCCCAGTCCCTCCTGCTTTGAAGAGCCCTGGACCCCACAGTTCCAGTTTCTCAACTCAGGCCCGACAGAAATCGCCATTGTTTTACTGGACAGAAAATTAAATTTCAAAAGTTGAAATTAAAGTTAAATAAAATGGAATTTAAATAAAATTAAAAATTAATTTTAATTTAAATTATAAAAATTTAAAGACGTGGTGTCCGAGGGAGCAGCCACACTGTGAACTTTCCAGCAGGAGCAAACGTGGGACGAGGGGACGGAGTGGCATGTCCCCGGCGGCTCTCGGCGGCTCCCAGCGGGGCACGCCCGAGCCCTGGTGTCCGCTGTGCCGACTGAGGTGACAGAGTGACGGACCCCTCGGGCCCCGGCCGGGCGTGGGGACCAGGCAAGGGAGGCGCCTCTCTCCCAGGGCGGCCCCTCCGCGGCACGGGCTCACACGGGCCCACACGGGCTCACACGGGCCCACACGGGCTCACACGGGCCCACACCGGCTCACACGGACCCACACGGGCTCACACGGGCCCACACGGGCTCACATTGGCTCACACGGGCTCACCAGGGTCCGGCAGCTGCAGTTCTCGTCAGGACCAGCGACGGGTCCGGGAGCAAAAGGGTCGCGGCGTCTGGGCCCGGGTGGGAAGGACGGTGGGAGCGCTGTGTCTGCGGGTGGCACCTGCCCTGGGACAGCAGCAGGGCGGTGGGGCCGTGAGCCCTCACAGAGGAGCACCCTGAGTCCGGCAGGCTCCGCCCACCGGCCCCACACCCCAAGCCCACCGGCCCATAGACGGCCAGCTGGAGAGCAGGTCCCTCCTCCCCGTCCAGGGAGAGGACACCCTTCCCTTAGGGAGCAGGGACGACTGTGACGACAGGCACCACGTGCACAGCCCTGCCTGCCCCACCCCACGGCGCAGGTGGCCCAGGCCCCGGGTGAGCCCAGCCTTTGCTCCACCTGATGCTCCTCCCCCGTTAGGCCCCAGGGTGCCTGGGAGACGCTCCAGGGCGGGGGCCAAGCCCCACCTGGGGGAGGGCAGGGCGGGGGCCGAGCCCCGCCTGGGGGAGGGCAGGGCAGTTCGTGCAGGCGCTGGGGGCAGCCCACACACCCCCATGGGAGGTAGGGGTGCCATCGTCGGGGGTCCTGGGGCCTGTCCTGAGGCTGCACCAGCCGCTGTGTGGCTGTGGGCAAGTCCCTTCCCTCCCTGGGCCTGGGCTTCCCACGGCCTAAGGCCCTGCGTTCTCAGACGCCCCAGCTCCCTCACTCAGCTGTGTGACTGCAGGCAGGTCACTCAACCTCTCTGGTTCCCCTTCCTTCACTGCCAAGTGGAAGCCGCGGGAACCCCCAAGTCACAGGTGGCCGAAGGTGCCACATCTCAGCGCCCAGAAAGCAGGCGGCGGGGCGCTGGCCGGCGCGGGTGCTGGGCTTCTCCTCCCCGAGGACAGGGCCGCCGTGGCCCGGAGCGGGCATCCTGGAGGTCCCGGTCCTGCTGGACATTGTGTGGGCAGGTTCTGTCACCGCCGGCCTCGTGAGGGGACGCCGAGCAGGTTTCCCGGCACACCGGCCATGGGGCTCTGTCCTCGCCCAAATCCTGCCCCGCTCTAAGCCTAACCGACGGCCGGCGAGGCCGCCCTCGAGGACGCTGCTGGTCTCCACCTCGGAGCCGGGCCTGTCCACCCTCGGAGGAGGATGGTCCACCTGCCTCCTGGGGTGAGTGTGCGTTTGAATCCCCGATTTGCAGTCCAGCCCGGAGATCCCGTGCCAGCACCCTCAGAAGTGTTCCTTTCCCAAATGTCTGCCTTGGCGTCCCACGGGGCTTGGAGCTTTCCCTGGGCCTGAGAGTCTGAGAAAAATTAAATCAAAAAGTCACTATGGCTGGGGGAAGGCTAACAAGGAAATCCTGAACCAGACTTACCAGCTAAGGCCCTTCTTTGTGAGCCTTTATGAAACTTGCATGAATTAAAACAGACTCTGCATAGAAGCGTCACGTGAGGTCGGGAAGGGTGGCGCGGAGCTCTCGGTTTCCCCAACTGGGCCAGGGCCTCGCCGCGCACACCCGACAGCCCCGCTTTAGCCTAATCGCCCGGGAAAGGTCCCGTCCCCAAACACGGCCCGCTCTGAGCTGCTGGCCCGGCTCCAGCGTGGGGTGAGGCGGACACAGCTCCGCCGTGCGGTCCCCGAGCCAGGACGCCGCGCTGCCCCTGCCGGGACACTCCCAGCAGAAAGAGGCCAGCGCTCCACGCGGATGTGCACACAGCCCTGTTCCTGACGCCCCGACGCGGGGGGAGGCCACGCGGCCACGGCACACGCACACCACGGGGCACGCTCGGCGACCACAGCTGCGGGCCACAGGGGAGGGGGAGAACACAGGTTCCGGGTGCACAAAGGGGCCCCAGGTGAACCCGTCGTGGTGGGCATTCGGCGGTGGCTGCCCCAGTGCCCAGGGGCTGCTGCGACCACTGACCACAAGCGGGGCCTTCCGGCAGTAGAAGTTCCTCCTCTCGCGGCTTGGAGGCCGGGTCTGAAGTCCACGGCGCCCCTCCCCCGGCGACGGCAGGGGCAATCCCGCCTCTCGCAGCTTCTGCGGCTGCTCCGCGTTCCTGGGCTTGTGGCCCCTCGCCCCGACCTCCGCCAGGGTCTCCACGGGCCTCTCCTCCGAGCGTCTGTGACCTTGTCCTGCGTCCTTGTCTGGTCTCCCGGCCTCCCTCTTACCAAAACGTGTGTGGCAGCATTTAGGGTCGGCCCAGGTGGCCCAGAGTAATCTCCCCGTCGCAAAACCCTTAATCGCATCTTTTTCCACATAAGGTGACGTTTATGGTTCTGGGGAGAGAGAGAAGGCCTGTCTCTGGGGACACCGTTCAGCCAGCACGGGCGGAAACTTTGGGACCAGGAAGGGGCCTGGGGCGGGTGCTGGGAATGACATAAACGTCCCTTGTTCAAGCTGCCCCTCGTGTGGCAGGTCGTGGCCGTGGCAGGTCTAGGCCATGGCGGGTCGTGGCCGTGGCAGGTCGTGGCCGTGGTGGGTCTAGGCCATGGCGAGTCTTGGCCGTGGGGGTCTAGGCCGTGGCGGGTCGTGGCCGTGGCAGGTCATGGCCGTGGCGGGTCTTGGCCATGGCGAGTCTTGGCCGTGCCAGCGGAGCCAGTGGCCCCTGCCCAGCCGCAGCCCACGGTGCTGGTGCCACACCCCCCGGGTGGCCGTCTGCTCTGCCTCCCGATCGGAGGCTGGTTCCACGAGGAGTTCAGTCTCTGGAAATTCCTTGAGCTGCACACACATGGCGTGCCCTTTTCTGTACGTGTTTTACCCTTAAAGCGGCTTGTGACTTTCTCTTTTCTTGCCTTCTGCAGTTTGCAGGGGAGGTCCCCGAAAACCGGGTGGAGACGGTGGTGGCAAACCTCACCGTGCTAGACCGAGACCAGCCCCACTCGCCAAACTGGAACGCTGTCTACCGCATCATCAGCGGGGACCCCTCGGGGCACTTCAGCGTCCGCACGGACCCAGCCACCAACGAGGGCATGGTCACCGTGGTGAAGGTAGGTGCCCTTCTTGTGCCTGGCCGGGCACCCTGAGTTCTGCCACCTGCAGGTACACCGGGACAGTCGGACAGACACGACACTGGGCAGGAGGTGTGCCCCACCCGGTGTCCAGGGCAGGGACTGTGCCACCTGCAGGTACACCGGGACAGTCGGACAGACACGACCTGGGCGGGAGGTGTGCCCCACCCGGTGTCCAGGCCGGGGACTGTGCCACCTGCAGGTACACCAGGACAGTCGGACAGACACGACCTGGGCGGGAGGTGTGCCCCACCCCGGTGTCCATGCCGGGGACTGTGCCACCTGCAGGTACACCAGGACAGTCGGACAGACACGACCTGGGCGGGAGGTGTGCCCCACCCCAGTGTCCAGGCCGGGGACTGTGCCACCTGCAGGTACACCGGGACAGTGGGACAGACACCACCTGGGCAGGAGGTGTGCCCCACCCCAGTGTCCAGGCCGGGGACTGTGCCACCTGCAGGTACACCAGGACAGTCGGACAGACACCACCTGGGCGGGAGGTGTGCCCCACCCGGTGTCCAGGCCGGGGACTGTGCCACCTGCAGGTACACCGGGACTGTCGGACAGACACGACACTGGGCAGGAGGTGTGCCCCACCCGGTCCAGGCCGGGGACTGTGCCACCTGCTGGAGGCAGAGACGACCTCACGAGGACCCGCCATGTCCCTCCAAGGGCTTGGCAGCCCCCCTCCCCTCCCTGATGTCTCAGTTCCCCCCCCCCTTGATCTAGTGATAGGAGAAATTTGTTAATAGAACTCTCAGCATTAAACCATCCCTACATTCCTAAGATAAATCCAACTGAGCCATGAAGTACTGTTTCCCCCAAAATAAGACAGGGTCTTCTATTTATTTTTCCTCAAGAAGACACCCTGGGGCTCATTTTCAGGGGATGTGTTATTTTCCCCTCAAAGCCTCGGCTTGTGGCATGCACAGGATGGCCGGGACCTGACAGGGGGAGCCAACCTTGTGGGTGGGGCTGCCCGCACCTTTCCGGTCACCTCTGGGATAGTAGCTGTCACGACGGGGCAGATGAGAAGGGCTGCCCGTCTTCTTTCCTGCTCTGCGATGAAATGCACGGGTTGTGCAGATGCGCTGCGTAGCCACGCCCGTCACTAGGTCTTATTTTCGGGGTAGGACTTATATCGTGCAAATGCTTAGAAATCCTGCGAGGGTTTATTTTATGGGTAGGTCTTATTTTCGGGGAAACACGGTAGCATTTTGCAATACGTTGCAGGATTTGTTTTGCTAATATCTGAAGATTTTTCATGTCCTTTTCTGAGCAATTCAGGCCTACGGTGTTCCTCTCCCAGAGCATCCTCCTCTGGGTTTTTGTGTCAAGGTTACAGGCTAGTCTCAAGAGGAGCTGGGGAGGGCACCCTCTTCGTCCCTGCGACAGGTTGTGTGACATTGTAATTTCCTGTCCCTGGAACATTTGGCTGGACTTTGCTTTCAAGCCACTGGGCAGGGGTAGGCCTTGTTTTTGGTTTTGCTTTTGCTTCTCCTTGTTTCGGAGTGGGATAGATTTGTAACTGCTGGTTCCATTTCTTTAATGGTTTTGGTCGGATATGCTTTTCTAGAAAATTATCCACTTAGTTTCCAAATTTACTTATATAAGCCTATCATTATAATAGCAGTGATTCAGTCTTCCAACCTAAGTCTCTTTCTACACTTGCAATTCATCTTCCACTGGAAGGGCAGATTGTGGGTGATACAATAAAACTTATCAGTCATTTACAACTTAGTAGAAAGCAATTTAACAGTTACCGCTCCCAAAGCAATTTTTAATAGGACTAAGAAGAAAAGAACAAGAAAGCATCAGGTATTTTTAGAAAATAGAAGGGTAACAGAAAGGTGAGCGTAAAGCTAGATAGGATATGTCAAAGTGCAAGAAAAAGCAAGTTTAATTTTGAGCTGTGCCATTTGCAAACTGCTTCCAGCTACCGGTAGCAGAGACTCAGCCACAGAAGTTTAAATATTTGTGGGCTTTATTCTCTCAAGTAAGAGGAATCCTGAGGTGGGCGGTTAGGGCCAATGTGACAGCTCCACAATCGGCAGAAGCCCTGGCTCCACCTTCCTGCCATGCGAAGTGCCCATCGTCTCATAGACCTCACGGCCCAAAAGGGCTGCTGACGCACCAGCCAGTGTGAGAATTTTATAGGCAGTAGTAAAGCAAAGAGAGGGAAGGGTGACCTGCCCCTTCTTTATTAAGAGACCCCCCCCGGGAACATCTGCTCACATCTTACCGGCAGAGTTTAGTCACAGGGTCATTTTCAACCAGAGGAGACGCTGGGTAACATAGTTTGTCCACTGGGCACATTTTCTAACCTTCTGCTACTAGAGGAGAAGGGAGCTGGATGTTAGGAGATCACCGGCTCCCCGGCCGCCCGGATGAAATGGATTTTCCACAGGACTCTGTTTATTTTCTCCGCCTCCCAAAATAATCTTTTTCCATTTGTCAATAATCCAACATTCCAAGTCTGCTGGAAAATCTTGATAAATCCCTTCCTTATTTTTACTTCATTTATTTATTTATTTATTTATTTTTGAGACAAAAGTCTCGATCCATCACCTGGCTAGAGTGCCGTGGCGTCAGCCTAGCTCACAGCAGCCTCAAACTCTCGGCCTCAAGCGATCCTCCCTCCTCGGCCTCCCAGAGTGCTGGGATCACAGGCATGCACCACCACTCCCAGACCTTCATTATTTTTACTTTCTCCATGAAAATTTTCAAACATACAGAAAAGCAGAAATAATAGTGAAATGAACCCTCATATACCCATCACCTAGATTTGATAATTAACATTTTGGTACATTTACTAAATCATCTTTTGAAGTGTTTGAAAGTAAATTAGTATGTCGTGACATTTCCACCCTAATGCTTCGTGAGCTTCCTTCTTCACGGGGGGCCACGGGTTCACCCTGAACGAGCTCCTGGAGCAAAGGCAAGATGAGCGTTTCATTCCTCCCCCAGTCAGGAGTCTTCTGAGCGAGGCGTCAGCACAGCACCGCGCCGTGTGGCGGCGGAAATGAGATCCCAGTGCGCGGACTGGGAACCAGGCTTCTCTTTCCTGGGCGCCATGCAACAACAGCCTGTCTCTTGCTCCAGGGCACACTTGACCTTGAGTCACTTTCTAGCCCCTGCAAGGCCACAAAGGTCAGCCGTTGCCAGGCAGCGCTGCTCCTGGGAGGGGTCCCCAACTTGGGCAGGCACAAGCAGGGGGGAGCCGTAGGGACCCTCCCCAGCGAGCAGGGGGGAGGCTGCCACGTGCCCTCCCAGCCCCTCCCAGCCTCTGTGACCCCACAGCCGGACTCCCATGACCCTGGAGCTGCGGGGCCAGGAGCCAGCCCTCCGTTTGCATGACAACCCTGCCGGACAGAAAACTCGGGGACAGGACTCTGCGTCTCGATGGAGGGGGGTGACACTTGTTACAGTTCATTAGAGTGACTCTCACGCTGTGTAAACTGAAAACAAATTATAAAACTTGCGGAGCTGAGAGCACAGACTCACAGCCATGCCGTCCATGCAGAGCCACGCGCCACCGAGTCCTGGGCAGAATTCAGCATCAGAACCACACTTTTCCCTCTTTTCCTTCGTTTTTGTCTTTATCCCATTTCCTGCTTTTGCGTAAAGTTTCCATCTAGAGTCTGTTCAGGGCAGGTGTCTAGTCTGGGACGCCGCGCCCTAGAAAGCACGCCTCCGAGGCCGTGCGTCCGCTGGGAGGCGCCGTCCCGTCCGGTGGTCTCTTTCGGGACCCGGCGGTGGCACGGGAGGTGGCGGGGCACTGGTCCCAGCCGGGTCTCGGTGCCCTCGGTGCCAGGGACTGCCCCCCGGACAGTGGAGCACAGACGCACGCCGGCGCCCCCACACCTCGTGGCCTGAGCTCTCCCCGGGGTGCACAGCCGCGCCCCACCTCTGAGCTGCCCCGGGGGCAGCTGAGCCGGGCGAGCACCCCACACCGTGACCGAACCTGCGCGCACCGCCTTCGCCGTCGCCGTCACAGGTGTGTTTCACGTGGCCCTCCTGCGCACTTTCCCTGGCCCCGACAGTCTTTCTGGAAGGCCTCCTTGCGCTCGCCGGCGGCACGGTCTTTAACGCACGGCGTGCGGCATTGCCCCATGTCGCTGCAGACGCGAGCCAGGAAATGCGGGAGGAAGGTCACTCGCCCTCCCTGCTGGCCGCGATATCGTGAAGCAGGATGCTGGGACAGAGCGCCCCCCAACCCAGCTCCAGGAAGGCGGGGGGCAGGGGGGCAAAGGGGGGCGCAGGCGACGGCAGCTGCTCGGCTCTGGGGAGAACCCGGCACGTCGAGGGTTCGGTGGGTGCCGGTGCCCGGCGGCATCCGGAGTCCAGAGTCGAGGAACCGAGACTGGCCTGGGGGGCGGGCTCATGGCCCCGGGGCTGCGGGTGGCGCTGCCCTGGGCTCCTCACAGACTTGCCATCCCCCTGGGACACGGCAGGCCCTGCCAGGTGACACCTGTGGGTGCACGGCCCCTCCCGCAAACACACACGTGTGGAGCGCACGGCAGCAAGACGGGTCCGAGGGCTGTGAGGCCATCCCACCTTTGGGTGGCGAGACCACTCCTGGGGAGAGGAGGCTCCCCCAAGGCCACTGGGCTGAGGGAAATGGAATGCCAAGACCGAGGGCACCCAGGAGGCAGGGCCGGTTTGGGCCGGTTCGGGTTGGTTCTGCCTCTGGTTCCGCCTCGGCCACTCACGGGCCCCCAGGCCAGGGCCCCGCTACGGGGCCTCCACGCCAGCAGCCACCCCAGCAGCCACTGGGTTTCTCGGGGAAACTGGTTCCGCAAGTGGCTAAGTTCCCCTCTAAGCAGAAATCTGTTTTGCTTTTTATCACGAAGATTTCTCGGCACACCTAGAAGTAAGAGAATCCGGCGCCGTGTCCTGGAACCGTCACGTAAATTTCGCAGTAACTGGCGTGCTGCTCTGTCGCCTCAGCTGGGTATTTTAGGCTCCCAGACCTCACG